AATTGGAAAGACCTCATATCTCTCCCAACATCGTTCTTTCCCAATAATCGCATTAATTGCATAATTTCTTCGTCATTACCTAACACGGTGGAAGGATAACATCAAAAAACACCCTCCATCCATAATGATATTTATTAATTTGAAAATAGATCTTGAACTTCTTTTTATGCTGTAACCACCTTCATCTTAACACTTCCATACAAGGTAGGCAACACATCGTAGGTCTTCTATCCCTTTCTTTTCTCTCTCTCTCTCTCTCCTTTTTTCCCTTGATCGATGGTGTGTCAATAATGTGAACGTCACACGTCACTCATCCATTTCGTCAGTTTCAGCACGTGGTAAAGAGGAAGTGGTTTCCGGTAAAAATTATTGTTCGAAAGTTTTTCCAATAAGTTAATAAATCCGTCAGTGTTTTCTTGAAAAAAGCAAGCATACTATAGCTATGGTTTTACCAATAATTATTAATTAAAATAAGCTCTTACTAATTTAACCTCAACAATTCAGCTTTTTGCTCATTAACTATGTGTTGTCTTCTACTTCGTTCTAACAACAATTTCAGCAACAAATCTCACCGACTCAGTAAGTAACGATACTCCTTTCAATTATATATTGTTGCTACTTTCCAAAATTTGTCCTAGTCCCTTGATGATGATGGCATAGACCGTCGCAAGCTTGACTTTAAGTTAATGGCATACTTCTGCAAAACTTTTTCTTCATCCCAAAGAATTTCAAGGATATGTATATATACACCTTAGGAAAAACCATTGTTATACATGGGAAATCATTGCTTGTGCTAAGTTCTCTGTGTACACAATGAATCTATACTAAAATAAATAAAACTTAAATTATGAAAACGGCCTTTAAAGCAATCTGACGGCATATTATATACCTAGCTCTCTTCGGGTTGCTGCAAAAATGATGTATATGGAGTATCTGCTAGTAAATGATATGCAACTATGTTTTTTGCGTGATAAAAAACTGTTTGAAATAACAAAGGCTATGGTAGAGTTGGAATATATCATTTAATGCGAAGGATCTCATGATTTTCTTGATCCAGACCAAAGAACCTGGTGATATGAAAAACATTTGTCTATGGATTTTGTATTCAAATAGTGCAGGAGAACCTAGTGTAAAATATGACTCAACAACAACGATAAGTAACATAAAAAATAAACATGAATGTTGCAGCAACAACAATAAGTAACAAAAAATAAACATGAATGTTGCAACAACAACGATAAGTAACATAAAAAATAAACATGAATGTTGTGGCACAGGAAAAAGGCTGGCTTGAACTGAAATGAAATTTTTGCAGAGCACCAATTGAACCAGTCAATCTTATAAACAAGGACTTAAAGACCTTTGGTAATATAAGTTATTGCACAATATCTTTATAATACAATAAGAGTTTGTGTATCTCGGGAATACATTTTGGGGACGAATCAGTAGGTGTTCTTCACTAAGGCTTGACATTTGGGACAGACAGAAGAGTTGTTAAGCATTCTGTTCAGATCTATATACAATAATTTCTTAATTTCAAGGCTTTCTTATTTTACTACTTTACACGAGAAACAATAAACGTATGGGCCTACTCAATACGGTAAGAAATCAATAGGATAACCGAAATTTCTGATTCTGACATATCATACCATTAGCATCAATTATAGTCTGAAACCATCATGGCATGGAAATTCTGAGTTATTCTGGTCCAATTTGGTCCCATTCCTGCATATAACATCTTGTAGCTGTCGTTCGGCCGAAATTTTACTTTTTCAAGCCTTCAGGTCCAGCAAGTAGCACAAATGTTCAATGGGATTAGTATCTGGGGATTTTGAGTTGGGCAGGAATATTGTGAAGTAACCATTCTTTTGTTTGTGTTTAAGATCATTATCCTGTTGAATGAAAGATAAATGTTTCCCTGATCCCCATTTTCCAGTGCTGCTCTGCATGTTATTATGCAAAATAATAGACTTGTCTGCATTCATAGTACTTTCGATGAACTTAGGTTTTCAACACCATTCCACAGCATACAGACCCAGACTAAGACGCTGTCCCACCATGCTGCATTGCTGGACCGACATACCTCATTTCAAATTAAGTATTTTAAGTTTTCTTCAAACATATTTGTGACCATAAGCTCCGAAACCTCGAAGATTAAAGTAAGATCAAGATGTAAGGTCTGACGGCGGCAAAAATGCATGGAAAAAAAATAATACTCAATTTGAAAATGAGACATATCAGCCCAACAGTGGAAATTGATGACGAGAGCGTTTTAGTTAGCCTGGGGCTAAATGATGTGGAATGGTGTTGGATATCTAAGCTTCATCAAGGCATTATGAATGCAGACAAGTATGTTAACTTTTGCCCAAAACATGCACACCAGCGCTGAGAAAATTGGGGATCAAGGAAACAGTTATGTTTCAACACACTGTTACTAAAACAAAGGAATAGTTACTTTACATTGTTTTTGCACAATCCTCCAATCCTGAATATCAATCCCATTAAACATTTTCGCTTCTTGCTGGACCTGAATGCCCGAAAAAATAAAATTTCTGCGGAACTACAGCTACAAGATGTTCTGCAGATATCGTTCCTGATTAGATCAGAATTAGCTCAAAAATTATATGCCAGGAAATCTTCAGGTCGTAAATGATGCAAATCCTATGATGACAAAGTACTAGCTGTGAATAAATTTTGTTAAAACTTATTTACTTGTCTATCTTGGAGTGCGTTGAATTCCATAATTCCTATTATTATTCTATTGTTTCTAATTTGCTTGAACTATTGCCATTAAAATTACTGTGTGGAAGTTAGCCTTCAAATAAATGTAGTGACAAAAAAATACCTTTTCGTTACTGAGATTGAAGAAAAAATGGAGTATGCTGTATGTTCTAAAAACTAGAAAATCTCATAGATGCAATCAATTTTAATTCAGTCATTTTCAGGGTCGAAAACCCACCCTTGTCCTTTGAAGCTTGATATGGGATAAGGGAAATAATGAAATAAGGGAGCCTTGAAGTAGATGATTATGCGAGGTAACAAGGAGGCCTCAGATTAAAAAGATTGCCTACTTCGTTGAGAAAAATCTGAAAGATATGTCAAGAATGACTATGCCTTTGGTTTTTAGACAATATGAATAGAATCTTGAAATCATAGGACTGGTCGAAAAATCTATTGAGAACATTTTAAGACAACTATATGCATGTAACAGGTGGGCTGAAAAGTCCGTATCGTTTCTATGAGATGGCGCCACCAGAATAAAATCCATACGCTTCTTAGCTAGTACCAACCTTCAAAAGATGCCTGTCAAAATTTGACAGCTGTCGGATCATTAGTTTTTGAGTTATCGTATCGAGAGTGACGCTACTTTTGTTATTTTTGAAAACCATGGAAAGTCAAGAGTTTCGTGTGTTAATGAAACATTAATTTTTGATGAAAAAAAGTGCCGTCGAATGCAAGAAATGGCTTGATGAGTGTTATCCGGACTCTGCCCCGGGCGAAGCAACCATTCGCAAGTGGTTTGCTAAATTTCGTACCGGTCACATGTCAACTGAAGACGACGCACGCAGTGGACGCCCAAAAGAGGTCGTTACGGACGAAAACGTGAAAAAAATCCACAAAATAATTTTGGGAGACCGCAAAATACGGTTGATTGACATAGCTGAGGCCTTAAACATATCAAAAGAACGTGTCAGTCACATCATTCATGAATATTTGGATATGCGAAAGCTCTGTGCGAAATGGGTGCCGCGCAATCTCACATTTGACCAAAAGCAACAACGCATCGACGACTCTGAGGCCTGTTTGGAGGTGATTTTGCGCAATAAAACCGATTTTTTTCGCCGATACGTCACCATGGATGAAACATGGCTCCACCACTACACACCGGAGTCAAATCGCCAGTCGGCCGAGTGGACGGCTGCATCCGAACCACCTCCGAAACGTGGAAAGACGCAACAGTCAGCAGGCAAGGTTATGGCCTCTGTTTTCTGGGACGTGCAAGGAATTATTTTCATCGACTATCTTCAAAAGGGCCAAACTATCAACAGCGACTATTATATAGTGTTACTGGAGCGTTTGAAGGCCGAAATCGCCAAGAAACGGCCACAAATGAAGAAAAAAAAAATCTTGTTTCACCAGGACAATGCGCCGTGCCACAAGTCCATGAAAACGATGTCGAAATTGCATGAATTGGGCTTCGATTTGCTCCCCCATCCACCGTATTCTCCGGACCTTGCTCCAAGCGACTATTTCCTCTTCTCAGACCTTAAGAGAATGCTCACCGGAAAAAAATTTCACAGCAACGAAGAAATCATCGCCGAAACTGAAGCCTATTTTGAGGACAAGCCGAAGGATTACTACCGGAAGGGTATCGAAAAACTTGAAGAACGTTATAATCGCTGTATAGCCCTTGAAGGCAACTATGTTGAATAATAAAAGCGAATTTTGACGAAAAAAATATTTTTTCATTGAAACGATACGGAATTTTCAGCCCACCTGTTATTTTAAAAAAGTGATGTACCCCAACAATTCTTAAATCATATAAACAAAGCTTCTTGTCAAAACATATCTGACATGCATAAGGTGACATTTGGTTCTTAAAATTGATATTCTATATCCACTATTATATAGAATTCTGACAAAAATATTTACAAGCTACAGAAAGATCAGAGGATAGATTCAATACAAATATATCAATCTACCCACTGTGTATTATGAAGCAGCATAAATAACTTCCTGTAAATATATTTGCCCTTTCCAGTTGCTTGGCGCGAAAACGCTATTTGTATGATGTGACAAGAAGCAAACTCTAACCTCATTTACGCCGCGAAAATAGACAATAGAGCTCGATATTCAAATTTCCTAAATATAAAAATTACGTCTATAGGCACTTCAAAGGAACGTGGTATATGATAAAATTACTAGAAAAATACTGCGTCTTATCCAGGAATGTTGTATATATGTTGTTTAGTTATTCTAGTATCACATTTCTTTATCAGACTATACCACATTAGGTTCTGCAGCATTTTGACGAACGTAGAAGAACCGATCGATCTTATTCCAGGAGCGTCTTTCAACGGCCTGGCACTGATGCGAGTCATAATGTCATCATTGAACTCGATCCAGTCGTCTCTGAAGCAAGTGAAAAACGACGTTAAGTTGATTGCCTCGGTACTTCCCTATTTTTTTAAACACGGGACAAAAATTCAAGAAGTGATTCTTAAGACTACTCTAAGGGCCGAATCGTCCATCGTTCCTACAATATTGTAGGACGCCTTTATGGCCTCCTTGACTTTGGTAGTTTTTCCTGTCCTTCGAAAACGTAGGGTATTTCCAGATTTCTACTGTTTTGTGTCACCCCTCTATTTCAGGTTAAATTTTATTTTTGAATTCTAAGAAATTTCAGGCTGACAGAACTTCATCATCTGTTTTATAAATCTGAAATTTTTTAAGATTCAAGAAGAAAACATACCTTCACAATAGCTGACATGGAACAGTAGAAATCTGAAAAACAGAAAAGACTATGACCATCAAGGAGACCATAAAGGCATCCTACAATTGTAGGAACGACTGAAGATAGGGCCCTAAGAGTGCTCTGTCCGTTGACGATTTCGGAGATACATGACCCTGAACGGCGCCAATGGAAATCGGTCTATCTTATGGCCAAGTTCGCAGGGAACAGGGTCTATAAAATAAATACCTTAAAATATTCCTTAAATAACTTGAACAACACCATGTTTCAGAACTATTTTTCAAAGCACAGCGTTGCCAGATGGGTCACTACAGAATTTCCCCAGAACAAGCACAAAAATCCCCCAGACTTACAACTTTTTCAAAAGTAAAAAAGGATAGGTTTGGTTCAAAGAGCGGGAAATTCTTTCTAGCTTAATTTTTAAGAACAATAGTTTATAGTAGAACAGAGTAAAGGAGGGTTGTCTGGCAAAGGCCACCCTGCTGTTATCTAGCTGTACTATAAAGGTCACAGAGAAGGCTCCAACATCACATATACAGGTAACGTCACAGAAATTCAACGTAATTTTAGGAGCTGTAGTAGTACCACATGCTGTGGTTTTTTGACCTTACCTTACATCGTCAAGTAAAACAGTGGCAATGTAATGGCCTTGAGATAGAGTTCCGCTATGCTGGACTACAGCATAGAGTTTATACACCGAGCTTAAAAATTGTAGCTTGTCCGGAAAACTGACAAGACCAGGATGCTTCATTACTTCATATTTAGAAATTAGGACTCTGTAACAATATCTGTATTTTAGTGAAGGCATTTTGTGATATAAATTGTAAGGATAGACTAAATACTTGAAATACTACTTAAAAATATTTTGTCACTTGCATAGACTACATCATAGCTTGAAATATTGATTTTTGGTCACTATTTTTTCATTAAAATATTCGCCTAGAGACAGCTCTGAGCTATGTATATCTGATGAGTGATGATTATTCTGTGAGAGACAATTATTTTGTTCTGTTCTGTTCTGTCTATTAAATATCTGAACAGCTTGAAAACTAAGCAAGTACGCAAAAGGGGTTCCTACAAAAGATTCGAAAGACAAAAGAGGAATTTATTGGCGACTTCTAGATTGACCTAGATAATGTCCTTAGAGGTTATTTAGAAGTCAACTTAGCAAATTCAAATAGCAGCCACCATTTTTGGCAAATGATTAACGATAAGTACGAGATTCTACATATACAGACAAGCTGAAACATCTGAAAACTGTATAAACACTCTGGAAACTTGGCACCACGCATTTGCCGAAAACAGGCTCCTATAAGAGATTTATAAAATCAAATCACCTCTAGTATGAGCTAGACAATGACCTCGGAGGTTATTTGGAGGTCAGCTTCGTAAATTTAAGCAATCACCACTAGTTCTGACAACAGATTCGTGATCAGCACAAGTGGACAAATCAGCAGTTCAATCCGCCACCAAAGATTGCAACTATTTGAATTCACAAACTTGGCTTCCAAATTACTTTTGACGTCTAAATCACATCCCTTTTTTTGACTTCCTGAAGCTTTAGCATAGACCCTTTAAAAAATGCGGTTTAGACTAGTTTCCGGTGCATTTGTGATCTTTTGAGGCCTGCCCAATTGACCACTTTTGATTGCGTGACGAATATGAACACCAAAAATGGTAGATGATAATCCAAGTTTACGAGGTTGAACGCTAAATGACATCTGAGGTCATATTAAAGGTCATCGGTATATTATTTTTTTGGTCTCCTGAAACTGTTGAGAAGATATTTTTTCGAAAAAAAAATGTGTGGCACTACAGCGTTTGTGTACTTTGCAGACGTTACAGCTTCGCATAACGGTTTCTCTTTTGACACCGACGGAGCCGCGCAGGCAGAAGCCTAAATGGCAGGGCAATGCGGGTACTATGATGATCCCAAGGAAACTTTGTTAATCCGATTTTTGAGCTGCCTATGGTTAGTAGAACTGGGAAAAGCCTTCTCTTGTAGTTTGATCCACAATCTCGACATCCTGGGATGGGAGGCGGAAGTCAGGCAGGTCTGTTTGGCATGCATCAAGGAGGAGAGCAAAGACAGTTGGTGTAGCGGTAGAAGAGAGCTAGATCGCCGTCGGCCCGGCGGTGCCAAAGGATCCTGAGACTGTCTGTTAAAGATCAGTAATTGATCAGCCGGACGGCCCTCCTCTGGATAACATCGAGCATGGATAATGTAGTCCAGGCGGCATCACCTCAATCGTGTGAGCAGTACTCGAGGCTAGGTCTTACCTGGGTCTTGTATAGAGTGAGGAGGTCATCCGGAGAAAAGAACCTTTTAGACCTGGCTTTTTCCCACCAGCTGCCACTATTGACGAGATGTGTTCGAGATAGATCATGTCCTCGAAGATCTGGACTCTGACCAGAAATGAACGGTTCTTTGGCAGAACTCGGCCATCCATCGAAACCGGATGAACGCTAGCACGCTTTTTGTTCGTCAAGGTACAGTACTGTGTTTTGGAAGCATCAAACTGTATAAGATTGTTGCGTCCCAAAGCAGTGATAACCTACAGGTCTATGGTCAGGGAGGAAATCGCTGCTAGTCTTTTTTCCAGCAAGGGTGGTTGCTACTTGAATTTGAGAAGTTAACCTCCTATTATTTAGGTCATATTAGAGGTCACTGATATAATCCTTTTTTAATCTCATAAAACTTTTGCTAGACTCTTTTTTCGAAATAATGCATGGTTCTCAAATTTTCGGGCTGTTCATATATTCAATAGGAGGAACTAAAGATAAGACGACTGCACACTTTTAAAAATCCGCAGTATAATCCTTACCTTTTCAGACATATAATCAACGTATCTGGGTCTACGACGACAGATCTCTTGTTCACGACTGCACCAATGTTCTTGCATATCTCGCACTGATAGTCTTTTTCAGTGGCTTCGGCCAGATAATCCTTGATCAAATCTTCTAATTCACAGGGTAACTAAGTTCTGCCGCATGGCAAGATTTAGGATACCCTCTGTTTCGAATGAACAAATCTTCTTTTGGCAATGAGTGCAAATTTTCTCATCCCTAAGTTGATAGTACGTTCTATCCACCAAAAAGCTCGATCGCCCTTGTAGAGCGCTATACCAAGCTTGTTCACTATCCGTCATAACCTAAATGAAAAGTATCGTTATCTCATCGAAAAATTAAAAACCTGTGGTTTCAATGTTACTAAGCTTCTTCAAATGACATCCACATATGAAGGTTGATCCATGCGTCCTGGCTATCCTCATTACAAATGATCTCAGTACTCCATTTTAACAAAATACTAAGTTCATATGTCAAACTGGTCTGAAATGATGTGCTTTTTGATTCATGTGGGACAAGAATTTTGATAGAAATCCTCTTGAGCAGAGAAGCAGAATTATTTGCAGAAAAAATGGCGTCACGTAGGTTAACTAAAAAAAACTTAGTTACAAACATGTACAATTGAAAAACTAAGCCGATCAGGTCAGTCAAACAGGCCCACACAATTGGTTTATAGACATTCCTTAGCTGGTCCCTGGTTCCCATATCGTCAGACACCGCAGTACGAGCAGAATAATCAAGCAGACCGTCACGTCGGGCACTGAGCCCAGATCGCAGAAGGAGTCTCGTTTAGAAAATATTTCTCTTTAAAGACAACCTATGGTATGTGATAGGTGCGTAGGGTTACCGGGGTTGGGAGCTTATACGAGGCTTGTTCAATAAGTACCCGTGTTTGATGGCAGAGGGCGTCCCTGAAGAAGGTTGGTTATCATCGTGTACTGCCATCTATCAAACGATGGCACAACAAATTTCAGACTCATTGATAGGTTGGTTTGGATTTGGCGGCCATTCGAGTAACACGTGTTTCGTGATTTTCGTCAAGATGGAAAAAGCAGTATCGTGCGGTAATTTGCTTTTTGTTGTGTAACGGTTTCACCGTCCGATCGTATTTATTAAATCACTTCTCGATTATCATTTCATCTCTAGCTTTTTTACTTGGAAACATTCCCGCTTGGAGCGCGCTTGATGCGGAGTTCCTGATCTGCGATCTTCCTCGCGCTTCTTTTTCACTTGAGCCGCCGATCTAGCAAGAGCTAAGAATTTTGTTCTCTGTAGCATGAGGTCATATAGCACCATGTGCTAGAATTTTGTAGAATGTGTGTCCGAATAGGACGAAATGGTGAGTTTTATAATACTATACAGTTTTATTGCTGGGTCTGCCTGTAGTTTATAGATAGTCGATATGTAAGTGGTTTATTTCTTGTACGATTTTAAAATATCCATCGAACGTCATTTTCGACTACTTCGATCATTCGCCATAACTTTAATCAAATCGAGGTAGAAATCGATCCACATCGATTTTAACTCTGTTTGCGTATATGTATTCATCATAGTTCAGTGAAATTATGAGTACGTTGATTATGAATATTCGATATTTGTGTTTTTATATCAGAAGCATGTGGAGAAATTTTTGATGACCACCATCTTGTTTTACGCTTTTTTTTGCTATTTCATGATTTTATTTTATGAAAGGCATTTCCAATTTTCGGTTTGATTTTATCAAACTATGTAATGTAATTCTAACCTAGAAAATCGTTGGTTCTCTTTTGAGGCAGACTGAGATTGGAAATGCCTTGGCCATTAGGACACGTTGCTAATGCACACGGTTCTTTTCCAGATTGGGGCCACCCCCTTTCCCTTTCCCTTTCCCTTTGTCTTTGACTTTTGCCTTTGCAACTCATGTAGTCTTTGACTTTGCATTGCTTGGCCTATCACTTCACCCATGCATGTG